GTTCTGTACGAAAGATTCATTGCAATATAAATTAAACTGCACTATATATATATATATATATATATATATATATATATATATATATATATATATATAGCCATCCTCAGACAGATTGTTTCGCAGTATCGCAGCTTATCAGTGTGGCTAAGTGTCCGGTTGCCTCTAGCTAGGATGGAAACCCGCTGAATTGGCGTAGTCGGGGGATTCTACCGTTGGCACACGGAGGGATGAAGGTGAATTTAAGCGTATTTATTTTTAGATAAACACACAGTGACTGAGAGAACTCGATTCGATTTACTGAAGATTCATGCATTATTAGCCGTAATAGTCACTGTTTACAAACCCACAAAACACACACACACACACACACACACGTATATATATATATATATATATATATATATATATATATATATATATATACACTTGTGTACAGAATTATTCGCCCCACTGAATATTTACATATTTTCTAAGGAAATACGTATATTTGCAAATACTTGCTGAAATTAACATAAATAGTTGATTCCGTATTCAGTTTTGAATAACTATTGAAAAGTTTGAAATCTATTACATTCATAGATATAGATATATGGTTTTCTAAAAACCAAAGCAAACCGAATTATTATAAAGGAATGGGCCTACTAATGGCCAGTCAGTCCTTGGCATACCGTGTTTCATTCGGATAAAAGTAAATATGAGACCGAATTTCTATGTAAATTTCTCAGATGAGGAGTTATCATTATTTACATAATTTCCATACGGACAACTGCCCACCTATTTGTGGTTGTTACTCCGCTTTCCTTTTTCTCATTGCGAGCCGTTATACATTAACCACCCAGACAAAAGGTAAAGAATTTCTCTACCAAAACCTTTCGTCCCCTAAGGGACTTAATAAATGCTAATGTAAATATTTCGTTTGGAAACATGCATTTATAAACATAAGTAAATTGGAAGAAAAATGTCGTTTTCTTTTTTTCAAAATTAAAGAATGCCCTAAAATTATTCTTACCGGTGACTGCGGAAGTCAAGTTAAACTATGGATGATGCTAAGGGGTATAATTTAATGCCTTATAAACGAAAAATAAGTTAATGTTGTTAAGCTATTATTTTCTGGTTAGTTCATATATATATATATATATATATATATAGAGAGAGAGAGAGAGACAGACAGACAGATAGACAGACAGACAGACACGGAGACAGACAAACAGAGACAGCGACACAGTGGGGGAAGCAAATATTCGTACACATCAAATAAACATACTTTTCATATTATTAATTGTACCCATATGCTTAACAAATAATTATGCATAGAAAACCGAAAAGAATGATTTAATAGAAATAAATACTATTCATCCATTTTAATGGGTTGAAAAAAGTATTCGTATAATACAAAAAAAAGAATACATAATCTTCATTTAATACTGTGTAGAATAGACATTATTTATTTCTACTGCAACCAAACTCTTCTTGTTTTCAATTAATGATTTGCAAATTTTAGTTGGTATTTTGTTACATTCTTCTTCGCATATGGTCTTCAGATCCGGGATGTTTGTTTGAACTCCCGACTGGATTTGAAAATTTAAATAACGCCACAGATTCTCGATTGGATTTAAATCTGAGGATTGATTTGGCTATTTCAGGATATTTACATTATTTTAGCAAGCCATTTATTCGTCGATTTTTCAGTGTGCTTAGTATCATTATCTTTTTGAGAGATCCAACCAGGAGGTAGTTCAAGATTTTCAACCGAAATCATTAAAATTGCTTCCAAAATATTTTGATATATTGTAGCATTCATTCTACCATCAGTTGCTGATATTTTGCCAGTATCTGTAGCAGAAAAAACATCTCCAATCCATCATGCTGTCACCACTAAGTTTCAATGATAGAACTGTGTTATTTTGTTTGAAAGCATCGCCATCTTTCCTCCATACATGATTTCAAGAATTACGTCCAAATAGCTCAATTTTATTTCGTCTCTCCATAATACTCTTTCCCAATTCGAGTTTTCCTTATCCTTATGTACACAAACGAATTTCAGTCTGGAATATTTTGTGTCTTTTTTAATAGCAATGGAGTTTTCCGAGGGAAGCCTGATTTTGGATTGTTCCTTTGAATTTCATTGTTTCTTGTCCGTTTAGTGATAGAGATCCCTGATGAAAGCAAATCATCCTGCAACTCTTGATGAGTAACCATTGCATTTTGCGTAATTTGAAACATTAATTTCCTCGAAGATCTTGAAGAAATCTTTTGTGGAGGACCGCTTCATCTTTGGTTTTCAACATTTTGGAGTTTTTATACCTTGCAATGAATAAACTAATGGTAGTAAACGCAATATTCGGTTATCTGAAATTTTCCTGTAACTTTTACCATCTTTTCGAATCAGTTCTTTTATTTACCATACGAACAATCAGTTCTTTTTGCGAATTCGTTAATTCTTTACATCTTGCTATGATGAATAACTTCTTGCACGAATATCAATTACAGAATGTACCTTTTGTATTTTGATGGGTAAAATAACTTCTGATAACATTATTTGAACATTCTAGAATATTCTATTTGAACATTCTAGAATATTCTATTTGAACATTCTAGAATATTCTATTTGAATAAGCCTGAGTATTAAAGCGACAATTAAAAGTATTAAAATCTGAAATTTGAATTCGCATTACATTTTACCCATTATAATGCATAAATGGGATTACTATTAAATCATTTTTTTCTGTTTTCTATGCATATTTAGTTATTGTGCATCTGTTTACAGTTAATTGTATGAAAACTGTTGGTCCATTCAAGTACAATAAATTCAAAATTTGTATGTGTACGAATATTTGTTTCCCCCCTACGATATACACGACATGCATTTAACGTGCATGTCAGTATTCGTTTTAAAAAAGAAACCCTACCCTCCTTAAACTTAACCTCTTTTTCGAACGTAACTCATAATTAATACAACAATAGTTAATGAAAATGAGCACTCTACAGCCCCTGCCTGAAGGATTGGATTCCTCTGTATCCCTGGAAACCGTAAATTATGAATTTATATGTGTGTTTAAAACTCAATGAATTTAAGAATAAGTTATTCCAATATTCGTTTGAAGATGAAACGGAATCAATGCTTTTAACTTAATTATATAATTAAATTTAAAGTTTTAGCTTCCATTTTTGAAACATGGTTCCGTGTAGCTAAAAACATATTTTAATCAGTTCACACACACACACACACACATATATATATATATATATATATATATATATATATATATATATATATATATATATATAAGGTCATAATTTTGTTTTAATAAGATTTCCTGAACATTCAGGACGGTAGAAGAAAATAAATAAACATACCGTTTAATGAATAAACAGAGCGTCTACACAAATACGATTATCCACTCAAAATAATGTTTAAATTATATATATATATATATATATATATATATATATATATATATATATATATATATATATATATGTGTGTGTGTGTGTGTGTTGTACATCGGCTGTAACAGCAAAATTGTCCAAATCGTATATCAGCATGGGATAATTGCCTATCCCACAAAATGTTTAATATCTAAAAATCTCTAAACTAATCGTGATTCTTTTTTTCATGTCTTTAGATAAGAGGTTTAACCATCTTGCCACCATATGTTGTAAGAGTCACAGAAAAAAAAACTCTTTGATTTATTCATCTATAAAGAGATCACGTTAAAATCGTTTTGTGTCAGCTCCACTGTCTTCTCAACTAAGCAATGGTGAGAAAAGAAAAGATCATATAAACCTCTAGTAATCATATCATGATTCATATGCTGGATTCCATCTTCAAAATCCATTCAAGAACAACGAAGAGAACGGTGAATGTGTTTAAAAAATAACTGTAGAGTGGAAAACTGGATCAGATGTTGATAACAGGAAGAAAGATCATCATTTCAACTTAGAGGTAAAGAGATGAATTAGAAAAGATCCAACTCAATCCATAAGATCTTTGGCACGTGAGGGAAGAGTTTAAGCTATGACAGTTTTAAGAGCAGCGAAAAAACACTTGGAATCGAAATCGTACGTGAAACGTTTGTGGCACCTTGTTAATCCCAGGACAGAAAGTTAGAAGGATAGAGTGGGCGAAGATCATCTGAAATAAGTTGGAAAATAATCCTGGACTATCTATCTATCTCTCTCTCTCTCTCTATATATATATATATATATATATATATATATATATATTTATGAACTTTATATCAATCCATCATGAGCTTGCGATCCTTAATTAATGATGAACATGTCATTTTCGTTTATAACAGATTTCGTTACAATTCCTCTGTTAAGCTTAGAAAGCAACTATACACTCGTATTGCTGAACGTTCTTATAGTCCAATACTTTTATAACAAAATATCGGAGAATTCCAGTATGATATCTTTAATCGTTTCTTCAATGCTTAATCTGACTATTGGACAATGTTGCTGGTACACGATTTGGACAACTTTGTTGTTACATCAGCTAGACACACACACACACACACACACACACACACACACACACACATATATATATATATATATATATATATATATATATATATATATATATATATATATATATATATATACACATATATATACTGGATTTGTCACTCCTAATACTTTTTCAGCGTCTTCAGAATTGTGTACATAGTAATTTTCTTTACGACATATGTCGTTTCTTTTGTTTTATGATTTCATGTTGTTTTTAATTCCTTTGAAAAAATATTTATCTATCTTCAAGCGGAAACAGAAAAAAAAATATGACGTCAAAAAAATGGAGGAAGTCGCCTGCGCACGTTTGCATATAAAAATGTGTGAAAAGATGAGAATTTTATTTCCTTCAACGTACATTTCAGTCGGTGTATGTAGGAGTCCCCAGGTGAGTTTTGCATAAATGAATGAATAAATGGAGAAATACGGAGCGAGGATAGAAATAGGAAGTAAATATATAAGTAAAGAAATAAACACAATACAAGTCAGAATAGACTGGAAAACAGAAAAGAAAGAAAGAAAGAAAGAAAGAAAGAAAGAAAGAAGAAAGAAAGAAAGAAAGAAAGAAAGAAAGAAAGAAAGAAAGAAAATGACAGGGAAAGGGAAAGAACGATAGAAACTGAAAGGTAAAAGTGAAAAGAAGAGTAAAATTAACTGAAGAAAGAAAGAAAGAAAGAAAGAAAGAAAGAAAGAAAGAAAGAAAGAAAGACAATTTCAGGGAAAAGCGAAAGAACGATAGAACTTGAAAGGTAAAAATGAAATGGTAAAGAAAGAAAGAAAGAAAGAAAGAAAGAAAGAAAGAAAGAAAGAAAGAAAGAAAAAGAAAAGAAAGACAATTTCAGGGAAAAGCGAAAGAACGCTAGAAATTGAAAGGTAAAAATGAAATGGTAAAGAAAGAAAGAAAGAAAGAAAGAAAGAAAGAAAGAAAGAAAGAAAGAAAGAAAGAACGATAGAAATTGAAAGGTAAAAAAGAAAGAAAAACAAAACAGGAAAATGTAAAGAACGAAAGATATTTAAAAGAAAGAAAGAAAGAAAGAAAGAAAGAGAGAGAGAGAGAAAAGAAAGAAAACCAGAAAATAACAAAAAGCCAGAAAACAAATAAAGAAAGAAAGAAAGAATGAAATAAAAAAAGAAAGAGAACAGACAAACCGACAGTCAGACAGAAAGAGAAACAGGAAAGATAGATAGATAGATAGATAGATAGATAGATAGAAAGAAAGAAAGAAAGAAAGAAAGAAAGAAAGAAAGAAAGAGTGGCAGAAAAAAAGAAAACCAGAAAAGAACGTTTAAAGAAAGAAAGAAATAAGAAAGAAAGAATTAAAGAGGAAAAGAAACAAACCCAGAAAAGAAAGAAAAAAAGAAAGACAGAAAGAGAAACAGAAAAAAAGAAAGAATGAAAGAGTTAAAAGAAATAAAGAAAGAAAGGAAGAAAGAGAAACAGAAAAGTAAAAAAAAAGAAACGAAGAAAAAACACAGACAGAAAAAAGATAGAAAAATGAAGGAGAGAAAGCAACGAAATGAAGAAGTAAACAAAATAAGAAGTAAAGAACATAAAGAAATTAATCAAGAAAGAAAGAAATAAAAAAGAAAGAAAAAGAAAATAAAGGAAGAAATAAAGAAAGACGGAATATAACTAAAGAAAAAAAAAAGAAAATAAATAAAGAAATGCAGGAAATAAAGAATAAATCGGCAGAAAATAAATTTAAAAAAAAAAGAAAAAGAAAATAAAGAAAGAATTAAAGAAAATAAAAAAGAAAGAAAGAAAATATGAAATAAATAGAGAAAGAAATAAAGGAAGAAAAAGCCTAGAAATTTCGAAATACGTAAGAAAAACGTGCAAAATAATGAAAGAAAGAAAGGACGAAAGAAAGAAAGAACAGCTAGCGAAAGTACGAAATATAAAAAAGAAAGAAGGAAAGAAAGGAAGAAATAAATAAATAAAGAAAGAAAGAAAGAAAGAAAGAAAGAAAGAAAAAGAGCAATAAAGAATGTAAAAATAAAGAAAAAGCCAAAAATGTACGCAATAAAAATACGGAAGAAAAGAAGGTGTAAAAGAAAAAGAAAGTACGCAATAAAATGAACGAACGAAAGTCCGAAAAGAAAAGAAGATAGAAAATGAGAAATAAAAAAAAGAAAAAAAGAAGAAAAAGCCGAGAATGTATGAAATAAAAAGAACGTGTAAAAGAAAGAAAGAAAGAAAGAAAGAAAGAAAGAAAGAAAGAAAGAAAAATACAAAAATGTCAGTAAAATGACTTAGGGAAGAGGGAACTTATTGAGAAAATGTCGAAAGATAAAAATTAATACCCACGAGATAGACAAACAATGAGTGAACGAAATTGGAAAGAACAGATTATAATCCAATGGTTGCAAGATTTCTCAAAGAGAAACGAAGTGAAAGTGTTGTTAAATAAACAAAGGGAATGAGAAGAATTTCCGTGGAGCTTACGAACACTTTCACTGATAAAAGGCCAAATTTTATTATGAGAAAGAGATAGAAATTGTAAAGAAAAGCTGTACTGAAAGAGAAAAAAAAAGTCCAAAATATATTTGGGCAGAGATATAAAAAAGAGACCTAAAGTCAAAGACGAAAATAATTTTGATAATAAAGAAAGAAAAAAATATGACGGTGAAGACGATTTGAAGAAAAGAAAAACGTTGAAATAAAAGAAAGCGAAAGAAAATAAAAAAAAATGTTTGAAGAAGAAAATGGAAAGAGAAAAAAAAAGTGGGAAAATATATGGAAATAAAAAAGCGAAACAAATATTTAAAGGAATCATAAAGAAAATAAAAAAAAAACGGAAGTAATCGAAAGAAAAATGGATCAATCGCAAAAACGACCGAAATATTTTTTTGAAAGAATAAATAAATAAAACTAGATGCCGAGCAAGTGAGCGCCGTGTAGAATACAGACGTCAACCAGAAAAGGTGCGAACGCAAAGTAAAGAAAAAGACATAAAAAAAAAAAATAAAAACGAGAAGAAAAAGAAAAAGAATTTTTCGGCCACCTGCGCGCCGATGTCTCCATTATTCCTGACAGAGGACCTAAATAATTAGAATTTGCGATTTTCCAATTTTATGCTGCTTCTCAGACGGTCTCCAAGAATGACTCCATTAATAGCATCTTCGAAAAAAGAAAAATTTTTTTTTTTTTTTTCAAAAGTGTGATTGCCCAGTACCTCGCTTGCTGCAAGAAAGCGTCTCCAGTAAAAATGATGAGGTTAGTCCGCCTGATGAAGACAGGTAACGGTAAGGAAGATCGTGAGGGTTGATGAAGAATGCAAGCTGCAGCGGCAAAACAACAGAGTAAGGCAGATGGGTAGAGTTGGCAGTTTTGTTTTGTTTCTAATTCGTTGTTTGTGGATATATAACTATGAACACAGTTTATTATGCAGACACCCAGATTTACACACACAAAACATGCACACACACACACACACACACACATATATATATATATATATATATATATATATATATATATATATATATATATATATATATGTGAAAAGTGTATATAAATATAAACAAATATATATATATATGTATAATTATTTATATATTATATGCGCGGTACTTATTAGAAAGCGCTCAATATCAGAGATAGAGCTAACATATTTGCTTGGATAGATGTGAGTTTGTGACCCTGGCTTTCACGCTTTAGCGATCGTCAGACAAACTGATTAATGTTTTAAAAAATTTGGGTTTATGTAGATTGCGTGTATTGGTGCTATTGTGGAAGTGGTTAGGGAAATTTCGTCGTTTTGTCATTCATCGTAATAACGCAAACATCGATGTATGCAGACACATATACCCACCTGGTCGTCCGTCGGGACTCATACAGAAATAAACATATGTGGGCAGTTTCGGCTATGACACATGTATGTATGCGGGTGGTGTTATATCTATACATACGCATTTGTATGTTGAAATGTTGAAATCTAAACATTGGAAGTGTGACGGAAATGTCTCGTTGATGTGTTTCCCCCACCACTTCCACAATAACACCAATACACGCAATCTACATAAACCCAAATTTTTAAAACATTAATCAGTTTGTCTGACGATCGCTAAAGCGTGAAACCCAGGGTCACAAACTCACATCTATCCAACCAAATAAATATATATATATATATATATATATATGTGTGTGTGTGTGTGTGTGTGTGTGTGTGTGTGTGTGTGTGTGTGTGTGGAAAAAATATATAGAAAATAGGAAAGAACTCGTTAGGTAAATAATCCAAATTTCTTTAGTATTTTGGTTATTATTTAAAAAAATAGTGCTCGATACGAAAGTAGAGCCTAAATATAATTATTTATTTAAACATATGATTCCATCGCTACATAAGAGTTCTCATGTTTCAAAACAAGAGCCGAAAACTTCAATATAATTATTTGAATTAAATTGAATTAAAGTACCAAGCTCTGTTCCATCTTCAAACGAAATTTTTGGAGAAATTACTAATTCCTGAAATTTACACACACACACACACACACACACATATATATATATATATATATATATATATATATATATATATATATATATATATATATATATATATATATACACCTAGTGAGCCAGAAAACCTACCTAGGTTTCACCTAAACGGTTATCTATATATATATATATATATATATATATATATATATATATATATAGAGAGAGAGAGAGAGAGAGAGAGAGAGAGAGAGCAGCGAGAGATGTGCATCGAATGTACGTTTACAAACAGACGAGGCAACAAAGCAAAAACAGAAGTCTATATATATATATATCTACAAATTCGTTTTTGATTAAGGACTGGCGTACACGGTTGCAGCAGTTGCAGCTGAAGGTCCGTGTTGGGTTCAATGCCATAACGTTGCACTACTTTCTCTTCTGCCTCTGGTCCCTGTGAGCGGTCCTAGTGGTATTTTCAAAGGAAGAGACAGCATAATTGGTCATGAGACGCCTGGTGTCACGGTCGCCAGCTAGGGTTGGCCATTGGCAATGATTCATACGACAGGCACCAAATGATTTTCTCAGGCAATTTTTGAATCGTTTCTTTCATGCCTCTCTTCCCGCCAATGCCAATGGAGAGCTCGTCTTTAGATTAAAATTTTAAATAGGCTATGATTCTCCATTCTCGCAACGTGTCCAGGCCAGCGTAACTGGTACTTTAGTAGCATCGCCTTAATGCTGATGATTTTCGCTTTTTCAATGACTTCGAATATTGGTGACGAAGATACTCCAGTGGATATTAAGGATTGTAAGGAGGCAGCGCTGGTGGAATCGAGTAGATCTTTCATTCCACTCGCTTTGGGGCAAGAATCTACAATCAATAGGAATTATTTTATTACCTACGAGCTAACTGGAGGTATTCTTGTGACGGTTGACACTACGCGCCTTAAAAATGAATCTCCATTTTTATTTTAGGAGTTGCATACACAACTTTCCGAATTACTTACAAGCTTTTCGTATTTTGTTTGAGTAATTACATTTAAAAAAAACTTTTTGTCATCGAGAATTCAGTCTCTATTCTCTATTCAGCATAAGGTTTGTTGCAAACACCATTTGTAAATGTTGAAAGGTGTATGTATTAAATTATAACAACCTTTTTTATGTAAGCAGAAGGAGAATTTTCTTTGGTTATTTAATTTATTTGGAAGATGGTGACTTTTAATTGCTTTCATAATTTAAACTCACGCTGGCGTATTTATAATTTTTAAATTTAAGTATATGTTAATCGTTAATTTATATGTTTTACACATACTCCAAATGTTCGGCCATATTACTTATCTATTCATACCTATTTTTAACAATAATTTTGCCAACGTTATTCCCTGAAGAACTGTTCGCCGAAAGACGTCTTGGTTCAAATAAATGAACACTGAATTGAAACATGGAAGAGCAAAAGTGATATTATCAAGTTGATTTACATAAATATTAGACAAATAGCAAGAAGTGAGCAAATGCAGGATGTGTGGACAAGCGGATCTGAGATTTTACTGCATATTCAGTGAATGTACCAAGTTTACACAGAAGAGTATAAACGACGGCATTATTTGATTGGTAAGAGAAGTCATTGAAAAGAATACTGTAAGATTGGTTTGTAAGTGAAATGGTATGAATAACAACGAGAGAAATTTCCTGGTTCAGGCAGTTTTATATAAGACAGGTAGCAATAATGGGGGTTAACTTCCCAGTCTATAGTTTTCAGTCTCAACAGAGACACAAAGCGTCACCGCTTCTTTGTGGTTGACGAATTATTTTCAATCTTATAGCCCGCGTCTCGTAGACGAGACGTCGTAAGACTCTTGCTGCTCTATCGCTCTCTTCATGGAGAGTGTTCAGATGAACTACACTCCTTAGTCCCACCAGTTCTAACGTTCACGACTAAGGCCCGCCATGCCACGCCCATTGAAACAAATCACCTATTCCTTTGGTAAATTGAAAGTTCCGCTCAAGCAACCTCTTCCCACGAACAACTGCCTTGTGTAAACATCTCCGACGAGGATTCTTCCCTGATCCCTACACTTTTAACCTCTTCAAGTCTATGATTAACCGTTATATTCCATAGATACACATAAGCTTACATTGTAACCCTCTACCTCGAGGGTGAACATCATTGTAAATAAAAATATCTCGACAAAGTATATTACTGCTCAATAGTTATCTAGAGCAATAATCATTGTATCACAAATGGAATCGATCCATTCTCATAGGTGCCCTGAAGAGCGAATAATCACAAAACTCTGAGTCGACCTCCGATAAGTGTCGTGAACATTCTATTATATCCACTACAGGCCAAACTTTTTCGGTCTATTCTGCATTTCTTCACAAACATCGTAAATTGGATTTATTTATATTCTTTTAAAGGATGACATAAAACTTCAGTAACACTAGTGTATTTACTTTTACATTGAAAGAAATAAGCACTAAATGGTAAAAAAAAATTTTAAAAAAATCATACAACAGCATCATATTTTGTTTTCGTCAATAAAACCACCAAAAAAACGAAACCAAATTTGAAATTTTGGTAGTAAGAGAAGCCTGGAAAAAGACTGAAAACTAAGAATTAATACATTCTGGGCACTTACATTGTACCCTTTACTTCAAAGAAAAGCAGGTGTCCCAAAAATTTTGACCTGCAGTATATATATATATATATATATATATATATATATATATATATATATATTTGTGTGTTTATGTGTGTGTATATATATATATATATATATATATATATATATATATATATATATATATATATATGTATGTTTTGTATGTGTGTGTGTGTGAGTATATATATATATATATATATATATATATATATATAGGATATAAGAGAGTTGTCGAGACCGGAGAAGACGTTTCTTATATCCGGATTTCTCTTATATCCGGGTTTCTCTTATATCCGGGTTTGGTCTATTTTATATACATTAACACAGGCTCTAATTTGGGACCAGAGAAAATCTCTTATATCCGGGTTTCTCTTATATCCGGGTCTCTTATATCCGGTTACACTATATACATATATATATATATATATATATATATATATATATATATATATATATATATGAAAGTACGATGGGGTAATGGAAAGCGGCGCGGATTGACGAATATGAATTTTGGATTGGAAAGACTAACTTATGATGCTAGAATCAAAACTCACACAAGAAAAACAACCATCCATGAATAAAATCTGTATCATCAAATGTATATAAAAATAAAAATAAAGAAAAAAAAACTAAAATGAAATAATTACACACGTACACACACACGCCTCACACATTG